GCTTCCTCCTGTAGTTAGGGAACTCACTGAGGTGAAGGAGCTGTGGGCCTTGCTTGCCTGTGAACTCCGAGCACCCAGCAGGTACCCAGGTGTTTGCTGGCAGCATGACAACCAGTCAGCTTGGCCTTGAGTCTCAGACACCTCACTGCTTCTATGATGAGGGAGGAGCTGGACTCGATCACCTTGGCCACATGAAGAGGCTGCCGCCCACCCACACGCTGGTCAGGACAGACATCTCCACCCAGGAAAATGTTCTCACCTGAGAAATTCACGGCCCTTTCGATTCCCCTTCTACTTTGGGGGAATGTGACAAGCATGAGCTTAAGAACAAATAATGGAAAGGATTTCTCCCTCAAAATAAAGGATGTGACCAGGTACTTAAAACTGCTGTCTCTTAGCACAGGGCCAGGTGGGAAGCAGGAACCCAGATGGGATGGGTTTGGTAAGGAGACTGTTGGGAAAAGGGAATGGTAGATAAAATCCAAAAGAGGCTCAGCAACTTCAAGACACAGAAAAGCTGACATCTCAGTACTCAGCCACTGTGCTGAGATCCCAGGTAATCCTCAGTCAACCCGGCAATTAAGCTCCCAGGTATGTACCTAACAGACCCGCCTCTACAGTTTCACTTTAACAATGCCGTTCGTGCAGCACTAGCTGCAATGGCCAAAAAAATGGAAACGTCTCAGATGCCCATCAACAGCAGGAGTGTGGATGGCCCCATGATGAATACTATGGAGGGATGACAGTCTACCACGACCACATCCAGAACTATGCGAGAATCCCAAATGTGCAATGAAAGAAGCCAGATCCAAGACGATATTCAGTCCAAATATAGGCAAATCAATCCATGGTATTTGAAGTCGGGATAGTGGTTTTCTTGGAGAGGGTAGAGATGGGGAGGGAAGTGGCATCTGAGGTGCTGATAATGCTGTTTCTTGATGTGTGTACTATAGGGACACAGGTGTGTTGTTCAGTGACAGTGGTTCTTTGAATGGAGATGGTTCAGCCTCAGGACAGAGGACTCTACTGCTTTGGGAAAAGAGGCCCTTCTTTCCCTCCTCCTCCTCCTCCTCCATCATCCTCCAAACGCTCTGCAGAGCTATTGTTTCCTAGAAACTCAAGCCTGTGGTAGGCCATGCCTTCCTCACGCAGCAGGGAGGTGAGGGCACCCTGCATGGGTAACCTAGGAACAGAGTGCCGTGTGACGAGGTGGGAAGGGAGACTAGAGGTTTGAGACCTGCTCCCCAGGCACCAGCTAACGGTGATGAACGTCAGGCTTTGGCAACCAACCCTACTTGGCTGCTGAGCCAGGAAGGCAAGCCAGGTGGGCTAGAAGCCCCAGTTTCCAACTATTCATTCCACAGAGGCAGATTTATTGGGCATCATGGAATCCCCTTGGGTGTAAACCCTGACCTTACTGCTGACTTCCCTGGAGACCTCTTGCCAAGTTTCTTACCCTCATTTTACAACTGAGGGGGAGATATCACCACCTGCATGGTAAGGCACTTATAAGCATAAAAAATAACTAATCTTTGACAGTCAGCTCCTCCACGGCAGGGTCTTAGTTTTGTTCACTTTTTTAGCCACAGTTCAAGAGTAGTGCCTGATACATGCAGCTGTTAAATACATGTTTACTGAAAAAATAACATGTAAATAGAGGGCCTAGCCCATAATGGCAACTCCAAAACAAAAGGCGATTTTTATACAAGTCGAAATAAACAAAACCGTTTTGAAGTTAACTCCTGCTCGGTCAGATTTATTACTGAACTTTGAAGTTTCTTACCAGAGCTAATGAGGGTTAGCTTTAATCTTACCCAACGCTGACTAAGGGTGAGTTGAACTTGTGCAGGGGCCATAATGAAGTACTGGATTTCTTTTACTGTAATTAAGCTGCTTCTCTCAACCGTTCACCATGAAGGATGCATAGACCACTTGAAGTCACTCACTTTTAATCACTGCACCAATACCATACAACCTCCTTCTTCCCACATCGCCTTTGTCTTTGCTTTTAGACCACACTTGAAGGAAGGCAGACCCCAGACTGTGGGTTGGGGCAGGGGAATATTCCTGATCTACCTCCTTCCAGATTAACCTCTCGCTCTTGGTCTCTATAAGCCTGGTTTCATCTGACCCAAGCCCCCATCACTAGGACACTTAAGAGACTGCATTCAAGCTAGTTTCCTCTGCAGGTGTGTTTCTGGAAAAATAAGATGAAAAGGAATAAATGATTAAGTCCTCTTGAGGTAAGAAGGCTGCTGTTGGTGGGATTTGGTGCTTCAGCACTGCACTTTTTCATTTCATCCACCTCCCACTTTCTGGTGGTTTAAAAAAAAAAAAAAATTCCAGGAAACTTGGGAGTCAGAAACCTCCGTTCAAGACCCATTGTCACTGCAAAAATGACTCTGGTGAAGTCACAACCACTGAGGTTTCATCTGTAAAATGGGCAGAACTTCACAAGATTGTCATAACTTTTGCAAATACCTTCTGAGTGAGACCTGTAAGTAACAGGTCCTGGGCATAGACCTAGAGGTGAAAGTCATATCTGTGACCCCCAAGGAAGCTCACAAGTTTAGCCTAGGGAATTGAATCCATTAAGCTGTTTCTGTGTTTCTCCACCTCTAAAACCTACAGCAGGATTGAGATACAGTTTCTGAAGTCCCAGCTCTGGGATTAAGAGCTCAAGTTGTTTAAATGTACCTCACCAGCTTCAAGAGAATGTCAGGAGGATAAAGCAAGCTCAGAGTTGTGCAAATGCTTTGAAGAGGAAAGTGCACATACAAACAAGGTATTAATTATATCAGATAATGTCTTTGAGCTCAACTTCATAGACACCTGTGAAGTTCATAACCCGGGGGCAAACAACAGGGGCAATTGTTCCTTGGCTATAGGGAAACTGTTGTCTGCTTGGCCAAACTTGAGAGTTTGTATGTACCCTCAGGACAGCCCTTTCAACATGGCTGGAGCCAGGCTGGGGCTCCCAAGTATTGAGGATAGGGAGATGGTTTGGAGGGTGGGAGGTAGAAAAGATATCAGCTGTTGAGGACTAAGGGGAGAAATACCACTAGTTTTTGCTGCAGAGTCCCAATTTATTGGACAAATTGGGCCCAGAAACTTGCTTTTACTTAAAAAGAAGGCAGCAGCCCATTTCATGGGAAGACTCCTCTAAGAACTCGGCACGTTGCAGGAAACTCTGCTCAAGGTTAGCCAAGCACGTTGACCCACCTTTTGTTTTATAACCCAGGTGTGCTCCTGGCCTGAACCCACCAGTTTTACAACCATAAACCAGACATCCGAGAAAGCAGAATTTTCTCAAAAGGTTTAAAATGACTGACGTCACTGAGAAGCAAGCACTTGGCAACCGGACCGTGAAATCGAAAACCTGATCACCACTTCCCCACAACAACCTCAAGCTTAGTGAAGTGACAGTTAATCTGATATTTCTTCCTTCAGTAAGAAAGATAAGGTGCAGACTACAGTCAAATCTATAACCTGCTCTCCCAGAGTGTAGCTGGAGAACTTGACAATGAGGGGGAGGGGGTACAGATTTGGCAGAAGTCTGGTTAGCAATAAAGCTTCCTCAGGGAGCCGGAATTGGATTTGGGGCCCTGCCCAAGTTAACATTTTTACAGGTTGGCTGAGCTGCAGTTTGTTAGCCAGTCAGTAATAAACCCATGTGCAAGAATTTAAAGTTTATGAGGCATGGCCTCTTAATGCTTCTCCTCAGCTCCCTGCAGCCAAGAGTTTAAGGAGCTTGGCCTAGCCTGGGTGTTAATTGTTTTGTCAATCTGCAGAGTTATTTGGGGTGGGGGGGGGGGCGGGGAGAAGGAAAAAAGGCTTCCACAGACTGTAGGCCCCCAATCCTCTTTTGAAGAGACAAGGGAGAGCCTTTCTGTCCCCTAGCCACCCCCACATTCAAGCCCTGGGAATCCGAACCTGGGGTGAAGGGTAGGCTGATGTGGGAATCAGAAAAATGCTAGGTGGCACAGGTTTTTTAATTGCTTTTAAAATTTTAACTGTAGATCCCCTACCCAGAAAAATCCACACACAAACTCTTAAATAACTTCACACGTTAAGGATCCTCTGGACCCCAAGGATCCGGGGATACTTGTTTAAGAAGTTGGGTTTGAGCTGTTGGAGAGCCCCCAGTCTTGGATGGAGGGAAAGAGGCCACCATCTGCCCCTCAGCTGCCTGAGTCTCATAACAAGCTGGTTCTGCTCATCAAAGTACCCCCCCCATCAAGTTTTTAAACTTGAGGTAGGGGGGGCGGCAAGTAATTGTGAGATCAAAAATGAGCTTTGATTCCCCATCCGCCACGCCTACAGATAGAGACTTTGCGGCTACTGGATCTCCACTCCCTCAAGTACCCTAACACTCCAGGACCGAGGCAAGGGGGGTCGGGGGTGTCCCCAGGGCGTAACGGCCCCAGTTCAGGTGTGCCAGGCCCGGTTTCCAGGCAGGCTGCAGGGGCGCAGGCCCTCCGGGAAGGGCAGGGTTAAGAGTGCATTCCAGCTGCCGGGGGAGCAGGGGGGCGGCGGAGGGAGCGCGAAGAAGAGAAACAGACCCGGTCTGTCTGTCGGAGACACAAAGCGCGGTACACAAAGGGGGCCCGAGAGGGGCGAGGGGGCTGCCCGGGGCACGGCTCATCCCCACACCTGCGCGGGGGCTGGGGAGGAATGTGGACGGCGCATTCCTCCACCGGGGCCAGCAGGGGAGAGCTTCCCACGTCCAGGCGGGGAGAGTAGCCCAGCCGCCCCGCACCCTGAAGGAGGGGGGCAAGGTAAGCCGCCGCAGAGGGACAAGGAGGGGCTGGACATCAGAGGGCTCGACGCTCTCTGGCCTTTCCCTTCGGCCGCCCACCCCTCCTCAAGTTCCCGGGATGCAGTCTGCGCCTCCCCCACACCTGAGGCGGCGCCAGGAGTTCCCCGCGGCAGCCTGGACACCCCGCTTGCGGCCCCCGCCCGGCAGTTCCACAGGCGGGCCCGGGGGCGGGGGTCCTTACCTTTTCCCAGCGCCTGGCCGGGCTCCAGCTCCGCGCCTCGCGCCTCCAAGGTCACTTCAGCTTCCCCGAAGCCTGCCCGGCACGGTTCCGAGGCCGCGCGCGGCAGCCAGTAAACCTGCGCCTGGGGGAAGGAGGAAAAGAGGGAGGCTGGGTCATAGGCGTGCCCGGCCCTGCAAACCCATCCCGGGGAGTCCTCACAGGCTGTCCCGGACAACCCTGGCCCCACGGAGCCCAGCCCCGCGCTCTCCCCGACGCCGCCGCCGCGTGCGGACCCCGCCCGCCAGCCCTCTGAGGAGCGTTCCGGCCGGGAACAGGGCAAGGCAATGGAGTACCTGGAGTAGGAGAAAGAAGCGGAGGAGGAGGGACGCGTGAGGCCCACCACGGAGCCCCATGGCTGGAGAGAGAGGGGTGAAAAGCTGCCGCAACAGCGGGCTAGTGCTCCGCTAAGCTCAGCGTGAGCCTTCGAGAACCGCGGCCCGCGGGAGCCGGAAGGAGGGGGCCAGGTGAGCGCAGGTAGGTGCTGATTGGTCCAGAGCCGAAAGATCCCGCCCTCTCGCAGGTGGGGCCCTGGTTGGCGCGGTGGAGGCACCCAAGACCCCCACTTTTACACACATACACACACTGTCTTTCCCCCTTCCCTCCTGCGTTCTCTTGGCTTTTCTGGAGTTCCTCTCGGCAGGGACCCAGGCCCTGTCTTGCAGATTCTGGGTTCGAGAGGGAAAAAAACCCCAACCCACCCCCTCCTCAGCCTTTGCAGCACGCGAAGAAAAAGGTTTCTGTGCCTCGCGGCCAGAGTGGGAAAAAGAAGTGGAGATGCATCTGAACTCGACTGGAAACAGAGGCGCCCCGTTCATGCTTCCCTGAGGCGCTCTGTTACCCAAAGCTTTGATGGAGGCCGGGTGTGTCCGCCCCACACCCGGCGACAGCGGGGGCGCGCGGGGGGTGGTACCTTCTGCCTCTTTCCAACCTCCCACGTCAGCCTGCTCCCAGGACTCCAGAGTTTAAAACTGGCAGTGAGGTCACCAGGGACCGCGTTACAAAATCTGCTACTACTCACGGAAGACTCATTACTTCCCTGGCACAGCCGAACAAATGGAGGCTAGGAGAGAAGATTCCAGAGGTCGAAGCCGTGGTGACACCAAAAGGTGTGGGGCAGAGAGGTGGTTGTTAGCCCCCATCACCTCAGGCAACCTCCCCAGCCCCCCTCCCCACGTAAGATACATAATTAACAATTTCTCAACTTGTGAAAACGCAAGTAAAGGCATTTTTAAAATCGCGACTGTTTTTTATTGGTCTGCAGTACTGAGTATAAACTAAGTGAAAACTGCTGGCTGCGCGGAGCAGCCTTTCCGTGAACCTCCCTTCAAAACAGCTCTTCTGCATCCTTCCCGGGAGCAGACGGCGGAGCTGGGCGGAATTCGCCTAATGCACACCCAAAGTGTCCTCCCCCTGGCCGCACGCAAATGGGCCATGGGCCCTGAAACGGTCCTGACTCAGTCGCTACGCAGTGCCGTCTCCGCACCGAGCTGAGCTTTCCTGGCCAGTCCCAGCCTCTTGTTCCCGAAGGTCTTCCCACTTTCCTTAGCTGTCTTGAGAATTTCAGGCTGACTCCTCATTCCTTTTCTCCCTTCTCCCCATCTCACATTCAGAGGTTTGAGGAAGAGACTGGAGTCTCTAAGTATAGATTTTTTTTTGTGGGGGGGGGGCCTCATAAGGCTAACCTGGAAGCCTGCCTGTCTTTACCACCAGGCCTGCAGCGAAGAGGAAGTCGGTTTGCGCAGTGAAGGTGGGAGTTCTCTTTCAAAACGAGCTTTGGCTCTGGGGGCGCACCGCCTGCGCTTAAGCCACCACTTGTTAGCGCGGTGGCCTCAGGCTAGTGAAATAACACCTCTGAGCCTCAGTTTTGCAAGCCTCTAGTGGGGCTATTGTGCTAACTGCTTTCTAAAGTACTAGGATTGAATGCATTAATGCAAATAGAAGAGGATTAAGTTAATTAACACATTTAAAATGCTAAACTCGGCACTTGGCATAGAGCAAGTGCCCAAACGTTGCCTGATATTATAGCTTTAGGATCCAGCTCACTGGTCCCCTTCCTTTGCCTCACGAGCCGTTTATCTCCTCTGTAATACCTTCAGGTTCCCCAAACTAAGAGAATAAGAAACGCTGTAATCCTTCAAGTTCACGACTGATGGTAAAGCGAGCAATTGCATCTGGTATCAGGGGAGCGCTCCGTTATCCGGCCTGTGGTCTCGGCAGCTGGAGGTTGGGGAGGGGCCACGCGCGGTTAAAACCCAAATCCATTTGCTGAGCACCAGCCCCCCCTTGCCTCGCGCCTCTCTCTCCCGTAGGGGTCGCTTTCCGTGCTCGAGGGGAGGTTAGATACCCGAACAGAGGCTTTTCCAGGAGGCGCCGGCCCCAGACTGTACCCGGGGGGCCCCGCCTACCCTCGCCTCGCAGGTTCTCCCGCGCCCGCCCGGAACCAGATGAAGCCATTAGGCGGACAGTTAAACACCGACGAGCGTCGGGATACAGGCCCTAATTAAGTAAACACCCGACTGGAGGGCTGTTGAGCGCACTCATTTCCGTCTCCTTCCAGAGAACTCAGCATTCCGGGCGCGGGAGGGGAGAGGAGCGGAGAAGCTGAGCGTCAGCTCTTCTGCCTGCACTTTGGACCACACTGCTGGCTTCCCTATAGCTTCCCTGGCCGTCCGTCCGTTCATTCATTCATTTAGGAGATATTTGCCGACGGCCTCCAGTGTGCCAAGCACTGGAGATACAACACTGAATGAAACAAACACATCTGCAACCTTGGATTGCAGATCCCAGATTGTGAGGGGTGAGCAAAGTAAGTAAATATAGCATGTTAGTCAATATGTGCTATGCAGTAAAGAACAGAATGGGAAGTGCCAATTCACGGGACAGAAAGCAGAGTTGAAAACTATGAATAATGTGATCCGGAAGGTGGTTTTAGGTCAGGATCTAGCGGGAGACAGAATCCTACATGTTGATTGAAGTCTTAGTGAAGGGACTAGAGGAATGGGCAGGGTTCAGGGGTGTTGAAGGTCCGGAGATAGCAGCAGCAGAAAGGCAGCTACAACTTGGAGGACTGGATGGCAAAGGGAGGAAACGCTGTCACTGGGAGTCAGGGGTTGGGGCAGGGGGAGCTGGAGTGTGGAGGACCACCCCTCTCAAATGGAGCTGCAGTCTGGAGGGACAGGACACTTGCCCAGAGCAGAGCAGGGAGGATGTGTGTGTGGTGGGGGGAAATAACCCAACATCTCTCTCCTTTCACCTTTCATCTTCTGGCATTGCCTCTCATGGACCAAGCCCACACAGAAACCTGAGGGCAAGAAAGAAAGAGAAAGGCAGAAAATGGAGGAGAGGCTGATAAGCAATGGGGAAAGCCCAGAGTCCTCCTTGAGGAATACAAACCTTAAGGCAGTGGGGAGCAAATTACACTGGGATAGCTGAAGTATGAAGACTGAACGAATTAATACATATAGATGAGAATTAATATTTTTAAATCTCTAAATTCAGCACCTGGCATAGAGCAAGTGCCCAGATGTTGCTTAGTAGTATTTCCAAGCAGAGAAATAAGGCAAAAGGACCTGAGGCAAGCGATTACTTTGGACAGGGTAAAAAAAAAAAAAAAAAAAGCCAAGCCAATATGGCTGGAGTGGAGTGAGCTAGTAGGAAATGAGTAGATTCCGGAGGGTGAGAAGCAAATCTTGTAGAGCCTTCAAGGCTATTGTAAGAATTTTAGCTTTTCTCTGAGAGGGAAAGGAGGAAGGCCCAGGAGGCTGTGAGCGGAAGAGAGGTGTTGAAAAGACTGTTGGACATGAGGGCAGAAGCAGTGAGGTCAGATGGGATTCCACTGTAGTCAGTCAGGCAAAAACTGAAATGGCCTGGTTCAGGGTGCTCCTTGTGGAAGGGGTAAAAAAAATGATCAGATTTTTAAACATTAATTTTTAATGAAAGGATAATTGCTTTACAGAATTTTGTTGTTTACTGTCTTTAAAAAAAGAAAATAAAAAGTACTGGTGAAGAAGAAACTGAAACACTTGTGCACTGTCGTAGGAATGTAAAATGGTAGAACCACCATGAAAAATAGTAAAGCAGTTACTAAAAAAAAATAAAAATTGAATTACTGGGACTTCCCTGGTGGTCCAGTGGCTAAGACTCTGCACTCCCAATTCAGGGGGCCTGGCTTTGATCCCTGGTCAGGGAACTAGATCCCATGTCACATGCCACAACTAAGACCCAGCACAGGCAAATAAATAGATATTTTAAAAAATAGAATTGCTGTATGATCAAGCAATTCCACTTCTAGCTGCTGCTGCTTAGTTGCTTCAGTCATGTCCAACTCTGTGCGACCCCATGGACTGTAGCCCGCCAGGCTCCTCTCTGTCCATGGAATTCTTCAGGCAAGAATACTGGAGTGGGTTGCCATGCCCTTCTCCAGCGGATTTTCCCAACCCAGGGATCGAACCAGGGTCTCCTGCATTGCAGGCGGATTCTTTACCAGTCAGTCACTAGGGAAGCCCTTCCACTTTTAGGTATAACCCCAAAAGAATTGAGTGCAGGGACTGGAACATATTTGTACATCCATGTTCATAGCAGCATTATTTACAACAGTCAAGAGGTAGAAGCAACCCAAGTGTCCATCAACAGATGAATGGACAAACAAAATGCTTAACAGGTACAGAGTTTCAGCTTTGTAAGATGGAAAGAGTTCTGTGGATGGATGATAGTGATGGGTACCCAAAAACGTGAATGTACTTAATGCCAATGAACTGTGTGTTATGTGTAGTTTACCACAATTTTCAAAAGTTACTTAAAAAAAGTGATCAGACTCAGCATGTATCTTGAAGGTATTGCCAACGAGATCGACTAAAGGATTGGATGGGGGTGTGAGACAGAGCAGGTCAATGATGACTCCCAGGACTGGGGCCTGAGCAGCCAGCAGGATGGCAGTGCCATTTCCTGAGATGGGTAAGGCATGTGTAGTGGACACTGTCAAGGTGCTGCCAGGTCCCCTGGGATCCCTTTGATGGCTTCTGAATGCCCCCTGTTTGGCTTCTGTGTGTTGATGCTCCCAGCAGCCTGCACATGTGAAGAGCT